AAAATGAAAAAAATTAGTTTCACTATTTTTTTTTTTACATATTGTCACCAGTGCAGTACAGCTACATCATATAACTGGCATGGTGGTGAACAGGGACAGTATGAAAAAAAAAATATATATATACTTTTTTATTATTTTTTATTAAATTTGTTTTCATATTTCACTATGACCAAAGTAGTACAATGTTACCATAGTAACATTGTACTACTTTGGGGAAGTGATCAGTATTTTTTTTTTTTTTTTACACAATTTACTCATAGCAAAGAATTACTTTGCTATAAGCAAGCATTTACCTGAATGAAATCGATTCATTCAGGGTTTTTTTTGTACTTAGCTGTGATTTGGCCACAGCTAATCACATGACATGTGCATGTGATTAGCTGTGACCATTCACAGCTAGACACTAGTATACAATGGATGGCATGAATGAAGCCATCCATTGTATACAACTGTCATGTGACCTGCTGTGATTGGTCACAGCAGATCACATGGTACCGGCAACGGGGGGCCGATACTCAGATCTGTCATCGGCTGTGTCCGAGGTACATGGCCGGTGACAGATCGCGCCACTGCACAGCTCGGCAGGAGCGCAATCTGCGCATGTGCGGGAGGACGCCATATGGCGTCCACCCGGAACGCTGATGACATTTGCCGGCCGCCATTCGGCCATAGGGCGGCCGGCAAATGGTTAAAGGGACATCCACCGGGATTAATTAAAGGAGAAGATCATCCATAAGGTTAAGCAAGAAGATAGAGGCTATTACATCTATACCTCTTGGAGCAGGGGTGTCAAACTGGTGGCCCTCCAGCTGTTGACAAAATACAAGTCCCATAATGCCTCTGCCTTTTGGAGTCATGCTTGTAACTGTCAATCTTGCAAAGACTCATGGGACTTGTAGTTTGGCAACAGCTGGAGGGCCGCCAGTTTGACACCCGTGTCTTGGAGGATAAAAGGTCCATCTAGGACCTAATACCATATGTTCTTAGGTCCATAACTAGAGGTGATCCCATAAGAGGAAAGGTGCTGGGGCCACTTTGCATGTTGGTGTGGATTTATTGTGCACTGAGTGGAGGAAGATTGGCACATTGGAGATAGAACACAGATTTTGGACAGGGGACTATATTGAGTATCATCACTAAGGAACTTTGTCTAGGTCTATTGATTTCTTTGGACATATTGGTTTTCACGTACTTTTATGGAACGTATCATGTGTAATAATTGACTATAATGAAGGGAGCGCCGCATGTTTTATGGATACAGGTCCTATGACAATACCAAACACTACAGTAGGATAACAGAAATGCATATAAAAGATAGGTGGGCAGAAGATTTTTTTTTTGTTTTTTAAACTTACATAGGTCATTCAAATTGCTCGTTTGTAGAGTAATTTTTTCTAGAACGCTTTCTTTTACATTGCAGGCAAACAACGGATTCCAAGCAGAAGCAATGGGCAGCACAGTGGCTAAATGGTTAGCACTTCTCCCTGGCAGTACTACTCGGGTCATTGGTTCGAATCCCAACCACGGTACCACCTGTCTGGAGTTGTATGTGCTCCCTGTGCCTGTGTGGGTTTCCTCAGGGTACTCCAGTTTCCTCCCACACTCCAAAGACATGCTGGTAGGTTAATTGGCTCCTGTCTAAATTGGTCCTAGTATGTGTATGTATGAATGTGAGTTAGGGACCTTAGATTGTACGCCCCTTGAGGGTCAGGGACTGATATGAATCTACAATATATATGTAAAGCGCTGCGTAAATTGACGGCGCTATATAAGTACCTGAAATAAATGTGCCGTCATTGTATTCATGATGGAGGGGTGCAGGATGTCCGACATCCACAGAAGGCTACCGAATGATTACAGAGATGACACCATTAACAAGAGCAATGTCTTGTCATTGGTGACTCTTGTCAATGGTGTCATATCCAGAAACTTCTGTAGCCTTCTGTGGATGTCAGACATCCTGCACTCCTCCTCCATGAGATCAATGACGGCACATTGCTTCTGCTTAGAATTACTGGAAAGGAAGAGCTACTCTAACTTGCGGAATTCGAACAACTTATGTAAGATAGCAAAGTTATGCCCACTTTTACATTACTTCAGCCCTCATATCGAATTTATAATTACTACAGGATAGGGGATCTGGAATCCCCTTATTTTGCAAAATTGGCAGCAGTTGCCCAATTTTGGCAAATTCATGAAAGATGTAGAAGGTTGAACTTTATGGACTTCAGTCTATTTTTCAACCTTACTAACTCTGCAACTTTAGATCACTATTATCCAGGTTTCTGCTGCCTGTTCCCAGTGAGATGGAGAATGCTATCCATACAGTGGAGGGGATGTCTTAGAGTAGCCTTCACTAAATGGCGGACCACGGTTTGGATCCGGACCTACTGAAGGCTCAGTACGGACCAACAGCCCACTATTCTGCACAGCTGGATCCTTACCAAACTGCAGTCAATGGTTGTTTGGATTGCCGGCGTCATAGCATCCAATGATTTTGTGTGTGCCCCGCCCCCTGCAGCACACTTCTCCTCCCAGCTCCCTTCTGGCTCTAATGGAATCTACTGGTCTATAGTGAGCCTCTGATGGGGTAATCTGATGTATGGGGACACTTGTTGTATGGGGACACTCGGATGGGGGCACCTGATATAAGAGGGTGATCTGATGGGGGATCTGATATAAGAAGGTACTCTGATGGGGACACCCTATGTAAGTTTGTTCTGATGGGGACACCTTATGTAAGGTGGTTCTTGATGGGGACACCTTAGGTAAAGTAGTTCTGATGGGGACACCCGATATAAGGGGGTACTCTGATGGGGACACCCGATATAAAGGGGTACTCTGATGGGGACACCCGATATAAGGGAGTACGCTGATGGGGACACCTTATGTAAGGTGGTTCTTGATGGGGATACCTTATGTAAAGTAGTTCTGATGGGGACACCAGATATAAGGGGGTACTCTGAAGGGGACACCAGATATAAGGGGGTACTCTGAAGGGGGGGACACCAGATCTAAGGGGACACCAGATATAAGGGGGTACTCTGAAGGGGACACCAGATATAAGGGGGTACTCTGAAGGGGACACCAGATATAAGGGGGTACTCTGATGGGGACACCAGATATAAGGGGGTACTCTGATGGGGACACCAGATATAAGGGGGTACTCTGATGGGGACACCTGATATAAGGGGGTACTCTGATGGGGACACCTGATATAAGGGGGTACTCTGATGGGGACACCTGATATAAGGGGGTACTCTGATGGGGACACCAGATATAAGGGGGTACTCTGATGGGGACACCAGATATAAGGGGGTACTCTGATGGGGTAACTCTGATGGGGACACCTGATATAAGGGGGTACTCTGATGGGGACACCTGAACTAAGGGGGTACTCTGATGGGGACACCTGATATAAGGGGGTACTCTGATGGGGACACCAGATATAAGGGGGTTCTCTGATGGGGACACCAGATATAAGGGGGTTCTCTGATGGGGACACCAGATATATAAGGGGGTTCTCTGATGGGGACACCAGATATAAGGGGGTACTCTGGGGACACCTGACTCTGGGGACACCAGATATAAGGGGGCACTCTGATGGGGACACCTGATATAAGGGGGTACTCTGATGGGGACACCTGAACTAAGAGGCACTCTGATGGGGGAACACTCTGATGGGGACACCAGATAAGGGGGTTCTCTGATGGGGACACCAGATATAAGGGGGTTCTCTGATGGGGACACCAGATATAAGGGGGTTCTCTGATGGGGACACCAGATATAAGGGGGTTCTCTGATGGGGTTTCTCTGATGGGGACACCAGATATAAGGGGGTTCTCTGATGGGGACACCAGATATAAGGGGGTTCTCTGATAAGGGGACTGATGGGGACACCAGATATAAGGGGGTTCTCTGATTCAGATATAAGGGGGTTCTCCTGACACCAGATAAGGGGGTTCTCTGATATAAGGGGGTACTCTGATGGGGACACCTGATATAAGGGGGTTCTCTGATGGGGACACCAGATATAAGGGGGTTCTCTGATGGGGACACCAGATATAAGGGGGTTCTCTGATGGGGACACCTGATATAAGGGGGTTCTCTGATGGGGACACCTGATATAAGGGGGTACTCTGATGGGGACACCTGATATAAGGGGGTACTCTGATGGGGACACCTGAACTAAGAGGCACTCTGATGGGGACACCTGAACTAAGAGGCACTCTGATGGGGACACCTGAACTAAGAGGCACTCTGATGGGGACACCTTATGTAAGGTGATTCTTTTTTCTTTTACTTAAAAAGAGAGATTCTGACTTTGGCTAGAAGAAAAATTTTAGCAACAGGACCTCCTTGAATTTTAATTCATTACCCCTGTCTTAGAGCGTTTGCTGAACAGAGAAACCCATGAACAGGCTGTCTTGACAAGAAATAAAGAAAGCAAAAATATTGTAAAGATTTTTTTTTTTTCCTGGTGAAAGGAGGAATGTATTTTCTGTCTACACTAAGGCACCTACTGCATATATTCCATGTACAGTCATTTACTGCAGTGTTATATGCCTTTCCCCCTGAGTCTCGGGCTCAGGGAGAACCATTGAATTTACATATCTCCTTCAAACACCTAATCTGCTCTCCTGAATTTGTATACTGTTCCCAGCCACCCCCACAAAGCTGTTTTAAACAACTACTATTCTTTGGATACAATTTAAGAGTTTTAAGGAGGGGTCATTTAATTTTGTCTTGGTCAGCCAAACATAATAACAAAATAAATATCATGGCAAGAAAAGGTCCAGTAAAATTATAAACACGAATTGCAAGCTTGTATTTTGAAATCAGAGGCAAAAAATAAAAACGTTCCTATACAAAACAAGTCTAAAAATGGAAAATGAACAAGTAAGGTAACAATGCTGGTTCTCTGTGGCTAAGCGACATTTGCTGGATCTTGGTCATGTGACAATGCAACATTAACAAGAAAACAAAAAAAAGTCTAGCTTTCAAGTTCTGTGAATTTTAATTTTTTTGGTGCTGGTTCTTCGGTTCTCTCTGGGCGGCTGCTGTTGGGCTTTGCCGTTTCTCTAGCTACGGTAATACCATAAAGTAGGTATCCTCCTCCACCGCTCATCACTAGTTTTGGATGGCTTCTGTCTGGCAGGACCTGCAAAAAAGTAAAAAACAGGCAATTAGAAAAATTTTTTTTTTTTTTTTTTAATATATTTTCTATTTGCAGACAGTATACACTGTACTGCTATAGCTGGGATTAGTTCATATGGATATTAAAAACATTATGAAAATTGTCCTTAAACAAACTGACCTCTGTAGCTGCAGGCACTCTGGAGAAATTTATTCTTGAAATTTACAAAAAAAAAAAAAAAAAACAATACAAATTCTTCTCTCAGTAGCTATGTCCCCATCCCAACAGCGAGTTGGCAGACTGCTAGCCTTCTAATGCCTAAAGCAAACACAGAGCAGGAAGAGTAGGGTGCTGAGACCAGATTTAGACCCCATGCACATGGAAATGAAAATAGAGGCAGGCATTCAGGTGCATTTAGAGCCAATATCTAAACTATACCTGGAAGCATATAAATTGATTTGCTGTGGCTAAATGCCCAATCTAGATGTTCAGAAACATATAGGTGCATTCAGCCTAGCTGTATTTACCCAAAATGAAACAATTCTGCATCCAGGGACCATTTAGCACAAAGCGTACCTAAATGCAGCTAAATCCAGGAACATCAAAAATGCAGGAAAAAGTGATCTGGGAAGCATAAAACCCGCATGTGGCCCATGTGCATGAGGCCTTAAAATAACGTCTGCTTCTACTGTAAAACTTTGAGGATGAATTGCTCCACAGTGTCTGTAGGTCAGTGAAGGTTTGTTTTAAAGCTTCTTAGGAACGCTTTAAGGTCTGCAGTCTGGCTATGATTCCGATTGAAAGTGGTTCTAAAGGCAGGTTTTTTACCCTAGCATATTCTAAGGAAAAAAAAAACATCTGGGTGTGGCTCCCCCCTCATACTTACCTAAGCCCCATCTTGATCCAATGATGTGCATGAGAGTGGAGGCTCTCCCAGGACTCTCTCATTGGCTCACACAGCAGCGGAAGCTATTGACTCCTGCTGCTGTCAAAGCCAGTGAGCCAATGAGGAGAGAGCATGGGGCTGGGCCGATCAACACTGTGTGTTCATTCACAGTAGCGTGGCTCAGGAGAGAGCCTGCTCGAGTGCCCCCATAGCTAGAGGCTTGCTATTGGTGGCACTCGGCAGGGGGCAGGAGCCAGAACCACTGACGGGGCACCCAAAAAGAAGAGGCTCAGGGTTGCTCTGTGCAAAACCATTGCACAGAGCAGGTAAGTATAACATGTTTGTTATTAGGGCAGCAGAGTGGCTAAATGGTTAGCACTTCCTCCTGGCATCCCTAGGGTTGTTGGTTTGAATCTCAACCACGGCACCACCTGCCTGGAGTTTGCATGTTCTCCCTGTGCGGGTTTTCTCTGGGTACTCAGGTTTCCTACCAAACGTCAAAGACATGCTGGAAGGTTCCTGCCTAAATTGTCCCTAGTATGTGTATGTATGAATGTGAGTTAGGAATAACAAAAGAAGGAAAGTGAGGACGTCGGTGACGAAACGCATAGGGCATGGCCTACTGGATGCCGACCTCTGAGGACATCGTTGGTGACGAAACGCGTAGGACGTGGCCTACTGGATGCCGACGTCTGAGACATTCTTTGGATGTGAGACGAGGGGACCCAGGGTGAGTGAAGATACGTTTGTGCACTGCTGCCTAAACCTATGCTTGTAACACTGGTGTCGGTGGAGACACCTTACTTGGTTCCTATGGTATGGAAGTATATGAAAGAAACGTGAGCTTTATTCCTGGAAAGTACCTACATCCTTGAATGGTGGCTTTTCATCTGAGGAGAATTTGTTTATTTGCACAGCATTGCATCTAGGAATTGGATTGCAGAGCAAAAAGTGCTTGTTGCTAGTTTAATTGTTCGTTCAGCATTGAGCTCTGGTGAGCGATTCAAAAAATTGTTGGTGGTGGTTTCAACACAGTGTGGACATTATTTGAAGATTTTTTGAACATTCAACTATTTATGGACACTTTTTTATAATTTTTTATTAATTCTTTATAATTTTCACATTTATTTTGATTTATTATTTATTTAATTTAGGGTGTGGGGTAGGTTGAGTCTAGGGTTGGTTTTGGGAGGGTTGTGGCAGGTTAGTCCCAGTAGACTATTCCACTCTTGGTCCATTCTTGAGGGTTCCCCTCTTGAATTCCCTGTGGGGGGGCAGTGTCCTCTGTTGCTTATGGTGCATAATAAAATTCATCTGAGGTTAGCCAACTAGCTGTGCAGCCTTTTTTCTTTCCTTCTTTTGTTTGATATTTGATTAGGTAGCACCCTTCCAGATACTCTGGTGGCACCTCAAACTTTAGGCATTTTGGGTGGACTCCCCAGCGTTTCCCATTCCCCCTTTCCCTGTTTTTGATGACTGAATGTGAGTTAGGGACCTTAGATTGTACGCCCCTTGAGGGTCAAGGACTCATGTGAATGTACAATATATATGTAAAGCACTGCGTAAATTGACAGCACTAAAAAAGTACCTGAAATAAATAAATGTGTCTTTTTTTAAATTACAACCTTTAGAATCACTTTAAGTGATTTTATACCCATCAGCAGGTTTATATTAAAGTGACTAAACGCTGGCGTCATAGTTTTACTGTAGCTATTAGTCCCTCCACTCTGTGCTAGTACCAGCTTTTCGAATCAAACAAAACTTGATGACCTGATGGCATGCACACCCACAAATGCTTCAACATAATAGAAAACATCTCATTCTGGTCAATCCCACTTTAGCCTACAACCCTCTTTACTAAATGGCAATGTGGAGGCCATACAGGCTCCTCTGATTGAACACAATTACAACTCATTAGAGATGTTCCATGGCTTGGTCTGTGAGACAGCAACACTTCACATTGATCAAAATGTTATTAGAAACTGCATATTACCTGGTAATTCCTCAGCCAAGTCTCCGACAGCTTGAGATTAATGACACCGCCTCTTTCTCGGAGCTTCGTATAGCATTCAAGTAGAGGCTGGAAAAAAAGGCACATTGTGTGAAGAGGGAATGACGGCTGACAGCCTAATATAACATTCTGTCTACAATCATCATGATCAGAGGCCATGCCACTTCAATACGTCTGAGAAACACATTTTAAACAAAGGAGTGAAAACATGCCATTAAAAAAGATATAATCTATAAGAAACTAATGGAACATAAAGTGTTACTAAACCCAGGACCCGGCATTCACTATATCCGTCTCCCCGGTCATTCACCCGGTCTCCCCGGACCCCGCATTCACTATATCCGCTCTCCCCGGACCCTGCATTCACTACATCCGCTCTCCCTGGACCCCGCATTCACAGATCCGCTCTCGCCGGACCCCGCATTCACAAATATCACACTCTCCCCGGACCCCGCATTCACTATATCCGGTCTCCCCGGACCCCGCATTCACTATATCCGGTTCTCCCCGGACCCCGCATTCACTATATCCGGTCTCCCCGGACCCCGCATTCACTATATCCGGTCTCCCCGGACCCCGCATTCACTATATCCGGTCTCCCCGGACCCCGCATTCACTATATCCTCTCCCGGACCCCGCATTCACTATATCCACGGTCTCCCGGACCCCGCATTCACTATATCCGGTCTCCCCGGACCCCGCATATCACACGGTCTCCCCGGACCCCGCCACTATATCCGGTCTCCCCGGACCCCGCATTCACTATATCCGGTCTCCCCGGACCCCGCATTCACTATATCCGGTCTCCCCGGACCCTGCATTCACTATATCCGGTCTCCCCGGACCCCTGCATTTCACTATATCCGGTCTCCCCGGACCCCGCATTCACTATATCCGGTCTCCCCGGACCCCGCATTCACTATATCCGGTCTCCCCGGACCCCGCATTCACTATATCCGGTCTCCCCGGACCCCGCATTCACTATATCCGGTCTCCCCGGACCCCGCATTCACTATATCCGGTCTCCCCGGACCCCGCATTCACTATATCCGGTCTCCCCGGACCCCGCATTCACTATATCCGGTCTCCCCCGGACCCCGCATTCACTATATCTGGTCTCCCCGGACCCCGCATTCACTATATCCGGTCTCCCCGGACCCTGCATTCACTATATCCGGTCTCCCCGGACCCCGCATTCACTATATCCGGTCTCCCCGGACCCTGCATTCACTATATATCCGCATTCTCGGTCTCCCCGGACCCTGCATTCACTATATCCGGTCTCCCTGGACCCTGCATTCACTATCCCCGGACCCCGCATCTGGTCTCCCCGGACCCTGCATTCACTATATCTGGTCTCCCCGGACCCTGCATTCACTATATCCGGTCTCACCCTATATATCTGGTCCTCCCCGGACCCTGCATTCACTATATCTGGTCTCCCCGGACCCTGCATTCACTATATCTGGGTCTCCCCGGACCCTGCTATATCTATTCACTATATCTGGTCTCCCACAGTACACAGAACATGCAATTATTGTAGAAAATATAAACTGCTAAATAGCTTTTCTTATCAGCAGGATATAGCAGTCTTGTGACTTCTATCAGTGTGCAGCAGAGCACTGGCTATTCTTGCAGGAGGAGTTTTCATTCTCCTCTGACTGTCCTTTGAGGCTCCATGACCCCTGACCCTCTTGTCTGGATAGCACAGATTGGCCCTGTGCTGATCATATGCACCCTCCCAAAGAACAAAAAAAAGGAAAAACTCTCTGCACACACTCAGTTTAGTGAGTATTGCAAGAGTGTCTCCTAGGGCTTTGTACTATCAGCAGATGGATTGGAGACAGAAGAAGAAAGGGAGGATCAGAGAAGACAGGATCAAATAGTCTTTATACACAATGCAGAGGATTAACCCCTTCGGTTCCACAGTGAGTATAACAAGCATACTTTACGGCATATACAGACTGATTGTACTGTTGGGGGTTTAGTAACACTTTAAAAAGGTAATGTCTTTATTGTAGATAATGCAGCACATGAAAATGCATTTGTTGCATTCTGCAACCAATTAGGTTTCATATTTCATAACTTGTGAAATTGGTCCACACAAAATTCCATATTTCAGAGAATTAGAACACTTTGAAAACCCATCAGATCTCAATGGGGAAAAAAATCTCCTGCTGGATCTCTATACTGATATGGACGGGGTAATGTGTTAGGAATGTAAGGACGCCCCATCGTTGGATGGAAATGAAAATTACCAACTTACAGAGAACTGAATTCAAAGACACCAAAAAAAAAAAATCCAAGTGAAAAAATGATGCAGCAGACGAGTCCATTTTGCTGAAATTTCATTGCAGGAACTCAAAAAAGTACTCAGTGGTTTGTATGGCCCCCATGTGCTTGTATGCATGCCTGACAACGTCGGAGGAGGCTCCTAATGAGACGATGGATGGTGTCCTGGGGGATTTCCTCCCAGATCTGGACCAGGGCATCACTGAGCTCCAGGGCAGTCTGAGGTGCAACCTGGTGGCATCGGATGGAAAAAAAACATGATATCCCAGAGGTGTGGTCAGGCGAGCATGGTACGCCTCCTCCTGTAAAACCATTCCTGTTTTGGGGGTCGTCTCATTGTTGGCCATCTAGTGCACCTGTTAATTTCATTAACACCAAAGCAGCTGAAACTGCTTAACAACCTTCTCTGCTACTTAACTAACCAGATCAATATCCCAGGAATTTAACTTACTTGATGCTATACTCTGAACAAAAAGTGTTTCTTTAACTTTTCGAGTAGTGTATTTCCAGAGGACCCCTGTGGTGCAGTCTCTGACCCATCTGCAATTGTCATAATAAAAGAGCCTAATGTATTCCTTGGATTAATCATTTCTTTCGATTATATAGAATGCAGCTGGATAGGGACTCCAAAAACAAAAAAACGTAGAAACCCTGGGTGTGTATCTTTTGAGGGAAGTGGAAAGATAGCGCTGTACCCATAGGGTTATCTTTACTGGTATTATCTTTAGGTTCCTGGGTAGGCAGTGTGTACCCCCAAGAGGATATCCACAGTATTTGTTGTAGTGTAATAGAACGAGAATTGAAATTGAAGCGCCACACCACTGCTGGAGGTCCAGATTCAACGCTATTCCATTAAAAGTCAGGAGCACAAGCAAAAAAAAGTAACCAATGTGTTTCGGGGTTCCAATCGCCCCCTTTATTAGGGCTTACCTGGCAGGAAAGTGAAAAAACCAAAAGTGAATTGGATCTTCAATGGTATTTGTTCCAGTATGAATTACAAGCACAGGTCTCATCAGCAGCTTGTTTGGCAGCCCGTGTTTGTAATTCATAATGGAAAAAATACCAGTATGGACCCAGTTCTTGTCTGGTTTGTGCACATCGTTGCCAGTTAAGTCCCGATGAAAGGGGTGCTTGGACTTGCAATGCGTTGAATACTTTTTGGCTTGTACTCCTGACTTTTAATGGAATAAACTTTTATCCGAATCTCATAGCAGTGGTGTAGGTGGATATCTCAACAGCTGTGCAATATAAGAAACCGTTGGGACTAATCTGTCTATATGTCTCAACCCAAAAATGGAGTACCGTATTTTCCGGCGTATAAGACGACTTTTTAACCCATGAAAATCTTCTGAAAAGTCGGGGGGGCGTCTTATACGCCGGTATACAGCGAGCTGGTGTCAGGGCGGCACTTTTTCAGGGGGTGGCGGGGTGCCCCCCCCCCCCCCTTTCCAACGGAAGACACACTAAGTACAGGGGCGGGCAGGGGGCTGCTGTTTCTCTTACCTGGCTCCAGTCCCACGACGATTCGGTCCAGGAAGCGCAGCTGCTCCTTCATTCTGTTCGGCCGCTCGATGTCCGCCTCCTCACCGGTGATTGGGCGCCAGAACTGTAGCTCAGGAAAGGCACACAGGCGGCCAATCACCGGCGAGGAAGCGGAGCCGAGCCGCCCCGCGAAAATCGAGTGAGAGCTGCTGGTAAGTGTGCAGCAGCACCATGCTGGAACACTATTGGCACTATTCTCCCCCCCCCCCCACTGACACCAACGTTGAGGCACTATTCCTCCTCCCCACTGACACCAACGATGGGGCACTATTCCTCCCCCCCACTGACACCAACGATGGGGCACTATTCCCCCCCCCACTGACACCAATGATGGGGCACTATTTCTCCCCCCACTGACACCAATGATGGGGCACTATTCCTGCCACTGATACCAATGATGGGGCGCAATTCCTGCCACTGATACCAATGATGGGGCGCTATTCCTCCCACTGACACCAATGCTGGGGTGCTATTCCTCCCACTGACACCAATGATGGGGTGCTATTCCTCCCACTGACACCAATGATGGGGCGCTATTCCTCCCACTGACACCAATGATGGGGTACTATTCCTCCCACTGACACCAATGATGGGCCACTATTCCTCCCACTGACACCAATGATGGGACACTATTCCTCACACACTGACACTAATGATGGGGCACCATCATTGGTGTCAGTGGGAAGAATCGTGCCCCATCATTGGTGTCAGTGGGAGGAATAGCACCCCATCATTGGAATACCATATTGAAATCAAATCTGATGTTTTTTAATTTTTATTTGGTGTACGTTGGAAGGGGGGTAGTCTTATACAGCGAGTATAGCCCAAACCCTATATTTTAACAGGAAAAGTAGGGGGGCGTCTTATACGCCGGAAAATACAGTAATCGTTTTGGGGTGGACTAATCTTCCATGAAGAACCTGTCAGTTCTGACAAAACCAAGGGACAAAAAACAAAAATGAAGAAGCATAGTGTGGATACCTTAACACTGGAGTTAGCCAAGGAGTACAAGAAACCAGTGGGTGATTCTGCCCACCAGACTCAACTCCATAATGGTTTGTAGTGGACTAGTCTTTTGAAACGGAACCTGCCAGTTCTAACAAAACCAAGAAAGCCCCCTTTCTTTTATCATTGGCTCACTAGCTGTGATTGACGGTAGTGGGACCCAATAGCTCCCACTTCTGTCTCAGCCAATGAGAAGAGGGAGTCCTGGGATAGCTGAGACTCCAGTGCACATCGCTGGATTGAGAGGGGGCTTAGGTGAGTATTGGGGGGGGTGGGGCTTCTGCACACAGAAGGTTTTTTACCCTCGTGCATAGAATGAAGCATGCATGAAGGTGAAAAACTTGAAGCCTTTACAACCACTTTCAGGTGACCTCATTAGTACGGTGTCAGTGAACACACACAGAACAACGGGTACTATGTAGTCCACAGGTTAGTGGTGATCTGTAGGATTCTCCTTGACCTGCTCGTTGTCCAAGACAAAAGCTTTTGTTTCTTCTTCTATAGTTTTTTATAATGAAGTTGTTTTCAGCCTTAAAATATTTTAACAGATGAAAGAGCAAACAATGGGAATCTGGAGGAAACCTCTTGCTTTTCTATACCCTCCAACTGCTACACATTGGCATAGGATTGAGAGTGGTCATTACCGTGCGGTGCAAGAAGCAACACATTCCCCAGCAAATGGGACATTCCACATACTATAAATTGACCAGACTACCTAATCTGCAAAGTGGCTGGTGGTTCAGCAAGGATGGCATTATCATGGCAGTCGGCATCATCTCTTAGAAGTTCTACAAAGAGCCAGGCACTGTGGAATGTGTAATGATATAAACACCTTGCTGTGAGGTGTACCTTTAAGGATGGTGCATAACAAAATGAAAAGTAAAAGCACAAGCTTGTGGCTTTACAAAGCCTGGTTCCAGATGGTTGGCCTGTCAACTCAGAGGGGAGCTGTGAAGGAGAGGAGCGCCTGTCAAGCAGGGACCACGTGATCGCGGCGTCCTGGGTGATGTCACTGCGATGTCCGGGAGACGGAGGGGAGGAACCCACGCTATAGCGTGGTAGGCCTGGTAAGCGGCCATTTTATGGAAGACCAGCACAGCAAAAAACGGCAACTTACCAGACCTACCACGGACTTGAGAAAACATGCTGTCCTGGTAACTGGCCTTCACTTCCAGCCTGAGGCTGTAGCGTGGGTTCCTCCCCTCCGTCTCCTGGACATCGCGGTGACGTCACCCAGGATGCCGCGATCATGTGGTCCCTGCTTGACAGGCGCTCCTCTCCTTCACAGCTCCCCTCTGAGTGGACGGGCCAACCATCTGGATCCAGGCTTTTTAAAGTCACAGGCTTCTGCTTTTACTTTTCATTTTGTTATGCACCATCCTTAACCTCCTTAGCGGTATTCCGGAGTGTAGCTCGGGGTAAAATTTGAGTACCAAGAGCGGTAACCCCGAGCTACACTCGGGCTTACCATGCGGCGTTGCTCAGGGATTCCCTGCAGCGCTTACCTTGTCCTTCGCTCCCATGGTGCGTCTCCTGCAGCATCCCCTGCCATCTCCTCCAGCCAATGCCGGCATCCGTGTTCCGTGTTCCGGTCCCTGTGACGTCGGGACGTACCGGCGGCAAATTTAAAATTTTTAAAAAATGTCATTTTTGCTGTCATTGCGGTTTCAATGCATTTCACATACATTTTGTCCCGAGTGCTTTGCCCTGTGCCCTGCCTGCATTTTGACTGTTCTTTCTGCCTGGAAACTTAGAAAAGTCCATGGCGTCCAAAAAGTGTCCCTTTAGGTCAAAAGCGGTTTTAGACCGGCTATAGAACAGCGATAGTAAATCAGAACCACTTGCAGAATTGAGTGATAATGATTCGTGGGGGAAATTCCTCATCAGACACTGAAAACGATTTTGCGACTTTGCTCAGCGATGTGCGAACTTGCCTCTGTATTTCAAATTTCAGTGTTTTTTGTTTTGATTATATTATTGAATTAAATTTATTATTATATTATTATTTTTTTATGATTATTTATTAAAATTATAATTGATGATTTCGTGTTTCAAGTTTTATCCTACCCGGGATGTTTACTAGACTCTTGTTCAGACAGATTTCAGTGAGTTATTCCTAAAAATTACAGCCTACAATAAAAAACTAAATATTTCCATGCAAAAAAATGGTACCGCTTTCAGCACAAAAAAATCGGAAATAATCAGACTGCTAGGGAGGTTAAAGGTACACCTCACAGCAAGGTGTTTATATCATTACACATTCCACAGTGCCTGGCTCTTTGTAGAACTTCTTTTTTGGCAATATTCTTTTTTACATTATCTACCCCCCCCCCCCCCCTTCTTTTTTCCTCTCCTTGTGGTCTCATTGCGAGCAGTAAGGTCAACAAGGTATCAGCACAGTGACTGATAAAGCACCTCTACGCCAATAACATCAACTCTATCTATTGTCCAGAGTGTTTTTATACTTTTCCTACATTATTGAAACTTTATTTTTTTTAATATAGCAAAAACAATCCAAACAATCATTGTTGAGTTGCACAGACAAACTAAAGGTCAAGTGGCCACAGTTATGGAAGCACAGATTGTCCAAAGCTTGCTTTCATTACAGAGAACACTGCAGATGACTAATGTATAGCAATATTGTGTAAAGTATGGTATGACTAACTGTACGGCTTGGGAAAATGTGCACATTTGTCAAGCTATAACAGAAGGACACTTTCATAACAAGAAAAAAAAATTAATCAGATTTACAAGATTCTATAAAACAGAAAAAAAACAAAAAAACTTACAAAGCTCTATAATAAATACAAAGAATATGCAAAGTGTACTTACCTCTTTATACTGACAGTAAACAACAAAAGGTCTGGATGGAGATACAAATTCTAGCAATGTGAGGAGTAGGGGTGCAGGGTGGAAGCGCGAGGCTATAATTAACCTAAAAAGAAAGAAAATGGTTGAAAATAAAAAAAGAGGTCAAATATACAGCAGAGGCAAGAGATGTAACAATGTTTGTACAACACAAGCCAGGAACCAACCAGAAGACTGTGCTGACCAAGGAGATGGGTGTACAGCAGGAGAACTAATCAACTGTAGGCTGGAAACTGTACTGTGACCTGCCACCAGCACTTTCCTAGTGCTCCTTTTGACACTTAGCATGGGTGCCATTAAGGCAGTGATTCTCAACCTCCTAATGCCGAGGCCCTTTAATACAGTTCCTCATGTTGTGGTGACCCCCAACCATAAAATTATTTACCCAGTAATTATAATTCATCAAGTGTCGTTTTAACCTCCAATACTGCTGCTTTCAACACAGTAGCTGCTTTTAACACAGCAGCTGTTTTCTACACAGTAGCTGCTCTTTACACATTAGAAATATGTGTTTTCTGATGGTCTTAGGCGACCCCTGTGAAAGGGTCGTTCGACCCCCAAAGGGGTCACGACCCACAGGTTGAGAGCCACTGCATTAAGGAACACTTTGCATTTTCTCAATGAATGCAAAGTTTTCTCTGATTGGATGATGTGGAGATCATGACATCAGCACTCTCTCTCCACCTCATCCAATCAGAGAAAGCTTTGCTTTTACTGAGACAATGCAAACTGTTCTCTGAATGGCACCTGTGTTGGGCAAGCAGCCCATTGTAATGTAATATATTAAATATGAAAAAATTCCCGTGCTACTTTCCGAACTATTAATAACTGCCACTCCTAAAGATGATTTAGTCCCCCAAATATTTAACAAACACGCAAAAAAAACAAAACAAAAAAAAAAAAACCCGCATGTAGAATTGGCGTCAGTTTGGATCATTGTATTTGGATATTGCATGAGAAGCACCACAGCTCCTGAACGTTTTTACCCTCTTCATGACCAGGCCATTTTTTTTTCCTATTTAACACTGTGCTCATTTAACTGGTGATTGTGCGGTCATGCAACGCTGTACCCAAGAAAAATTTATATCAATTTTTTTCACACAAATAGAGTTTTCTTTTGGCTCTATTTAATCACCACTGGCATTTATATTTTTTTTTATTATATAAACATTTTTTGGTTAGAAAAAAAAAAAAAAAATTTTTTATATATATATATATATATATATATATATATATATATATATATATATATATTTTATTTTTTTTTTTTTTTTCTGGGACTGTGATAGTGCGGACAGGCAATTTGACACTAACTGGCACTGGGTGAAAACTGACATATACTGACATCACCAGTGACACTAATACAGAGATCAGTGATTACACTACACTAATAACACATTGGCTGGGAAGGGGTTAACATCTTGGGTAATCAAGGTGTCAAGTGGTAACTTAGGTAATGTGTGTGGATTTTTACTAAAAATCTTTTTGTTACAGAGATTGTTCCCTCTGTACAGAGCTCTGTGTTGACTGTCAACACAGAGCTCTGGCCTGTGATTAGACACAGCCGATCAGCAGATCCTGGCCATGAATTATTGGCCAGGACCTGCTGATATACTCCCGCTGTGCCTGCTGACATACTACTGCTGTGCCTGCTGACATACTCCTGCTGTGTTCGCTGACATACTCCTGCTAGTGTTGTGACATTCAGTCACAGAAGGAGTCGGCGGCGTGCACGTGCATGCCCTGCACACAGAAGAGGCCAGCGACGTTCAGGTAGATTGCTGTGCCTGTACAGGCCCGTCTGTCCATAATACATAGCGGGCGGGCAGTCCACAAGTAATTAATTTTAATATATTAAGAATATTATGAAAAACACCTAAACTTCAGCTTTAACCCCTAGATGCCGAGCACACACAAATATGAGGCCTCTCGGTGTCTGGACCTTGATGCTGAGCGGCCACATATTTGCGTACCATTTGAAAATGCATATGTGCTGAGAGTGCGCGCTATGTTCCATGCGTAGGTCCGTTGACTCACGGAAAGGTCTCAATCTCCCCTTGCGATCGGGACCTTTTCCGATTATGGTGAACTGCCATGAAAGCAAATCATGGTGGTCACATGACCCTAAAACCACCCGCCCCGCCTCCCAGCTTCTGAAACCTTTTAAGGGCCGGGAGGTGCCGGCACAAAGGAGTTAAAGATAGACGGTCAGTTCCTGACAGGAGTATTAGACCCACCCTGGTTGTCATAGGCCACCTCCAGCCCCAACATCTGCCAATCTGCCTGCAGCAGCAGCCTGAACCCGTGTGTTGTGGCTGAGAAGAGATTACCATAGTAATTTTTCAATCAGTGAATATGAACCGGTTATAATATTAGCACTCATTGGTCACATTCAAATACATATCTGAAGAAGTCTACAGATCAATTTCCAATGCACCAGTGTCCGCCTGACTATCCAGCCCAGGCTTTTATGGCTCTCAGTTAATAAAACATATCAATTCGTGTTCAACTCACCCATCAGCATTTCTGTTCTGTAACAAGACCGCGGGCTTCGGATTCCCTCCTCCTCCTCTCATCCTGTTTACGCTTCTTCTCCATTGCCTATACAGACATAAAAAGAAGAATCTGATCTGTATTCTTCTGAAAGACATACGTGGAAGGAAAACCTAACCAATTATTCAACAAAGCAAACAGCAGTTAAAGATATCAATCCAATGGGATTTGCACATTACCATCTGGTTTTTTTTTGTGTCTTTTTTGGTTCTATAAAAAGGAAGAATATACACACAGGAGGCTGAAGGGCAGCACTGTATACAATGTTCATACGTCCCACTGAATAGCCGCCCATTGTAAGATGAAAGCTTAAGCTGGCCATACACTGTGCAAATTTCCACTGGTCCCTGATGTACTGGACAAAATGTGATCAGTGGTTGGCCCTGTCGGCATCAGTACACCTAGCATCCTTGGAATAAAAATCAATTGAAGCCAGTTCAACTATAAAAAAGAAAAATGTTATAATCCTACACCCCCACTTGATCCAGAGGAAGCAAAAAAACCAGCAAAGCACGATCCAATTTGCTCCTGCAGGGAAAAAATTCCTTCCTGATCCCCCGAGAGGCAATTGGATATTTCCTGGATCAACTTTACCTATAAATGTTATATCCAGTTATATTCTGTGTATCCAAGAAAGAATCCAGGATTTTTTTTGAAGCAATCCACTGAGCTGGCCACCCAACTCTTGAGGGAGTCTATTCCACATTCTCACAGCTCTCACTGTGAAGAAACCTTTCTGTGTTTGGAGATTAAATTTGTATTCCACCAGACATAAAGAGCGCCCCCTTGTCCTCTGTGATGACCTCAGGGGGAATAACTACACCGAGTTGAACTATATGAACCCTTAATGTATTTACTTACATGGAGATCATATCCCCCTTATGTATTATACATGGAGATCATACCCCCCCTTATGTATTATACATGGAGATCATATCCCCCCTTATGTATTATCCTCATGGAGATCTTATGTATTATCCCCGCCCTTATGTATTATACATGGAGATCCATATCCCACTTTTCTGTATCTATCTTATGTATTATACGAATGGAGATCTAATATCCCCCCTTATACAAGGAGTTTGAATTATACATGGAGATCATAATCCCCCCTTATGTATTATAGCAGGAGATCATATCCCCCGCTTATGTATTATACATGGAGATCATATCCCCCCAGATTAGTACCCCCTTAGGTATACTTGGAGGATCATTGTCCCCCCTTCAATCCCCCCTATAGTATACATGGAGATCATTTCCCCACCTTACTGTATTATACATAGAAGATCATATCCCCCTTTAGGATCATACATCGATAGATCATTCCCCCTATGTTTTATACACGGAGATCAGATCCCCCCCCTTGATGTATTTACTTGGAAATCATATCCCCCTTATTATATACATGGAGAACATAAACCCTCCTTATGTATTCTTGGGTGTATATCATGGAGATCTATCCCCCCTTATGTATATATACAGGAGATCATATCCCCCCCGTATGTATTCTACATGAGAATCATATCCCCCCCTTATGTATTATAGATGAGATCATATCCCCCTTCTATACATGTGGATTATACATGTAGGATAATATCCCCCCATGTATAATACATGTGCATCATATCCCCCTTATGTATTATACAGGGAGATCATATCCCCATATTTGTATTATCCACACAAGTGCATATCATATCCCCCCTTAGTATTTTGGAGTAATTAATACATGGGAGATCATATCCCCCTTTATGTATTCTACATGGTGCCACATCATATCCCCCTTATGTATTCTTCATGGAGCATGAGGTCCGGCTTATGTAAATCAGGGGATATCCCCCTTATGTATTATACCAGGAGATCATATCCCCCCTATTGTATATGTTGAATAAATCCCCCTTATGTAATTACACGCACATATTCCTCTATTCTACATGGGTGTATGTAACATGGAGATCATATCCCCTTATGTAAAATACACTGATATCATTTAGGTATTCATGGAGATCATATCCCCCCTTATGTATTATACATGGTATTATACATTGAGATCATATCCCCCCTTATGTATTATCGACACTGATTGTACTTGGTATAACAAGGAGATCATATCCCATTATGTATATACATGGAGACATACCACCCCCTTATGTATTATACATGGAGATCATACCCCCTTATTAAACATGTCATATCGCCGCTTCTGATTATACATGGAGATCATATCCCCCCTTATGTATTATACATGGAAGATCATATCCCCCTTATGTATTATACATGGAGATCCCCCTTATATAATTATACATTGAGATCATATCCCCCCTTATGTATGGAGATCATACCCCCCTTTATGTATTATACATGGAGATCCTATCCCCCGCGTATGTGGGAACATGAGCCATAATCCCCACCGTATGTTTATACATGGTAGATCATATCCTCCCCTATGTATGTATACACGGAGATCTTATCCCCCCTTAAGTATTATAACAACTCTATCCCCCCTACAGATGTATTATACACTTGGAGATCATATCACCCCTTAATGTATTATACATGGAGATCATATCCCCCCATTATGTATTATACATGGAGATCATATCCCCAGTTATGTAATTATACACTGGAGATCATATCCCCCTTATGGTATTATACATGGTGATCGTTATCCCCCTTAATCTCCTCTTATCAAGAGCCGAATACATTCTGTTCCTCTAATCTTTCCTCATAGCTGATCTCCTGGCTCATCAGTTTGGTTGCCCTTCCTGTAACTTTCTCCTGTCCCCAATGTTCTTTTTGTGAATTGGAAGCCCAAAACTGAACTGCATATTCCCCAGTTGATGGTCTCACTAATGATTTGTACCGGGGAAATGATATCTACACTCTCTCTGGAGTCTATACCCTTTTAATACAAGAGAGGATTTTGCTCGCTTTAGAACCCGCAGCTTGGCATTGCATGCCTTTATTAAACTTGTGATCTACCTGAAGCCCAGTTAAAATCCATTCTCCACCATTGGACCCCCCCAGATCCTTCACAAATTGACCACCCAGTTGTCCCCCCCCCCCCCCCCCCAGTATGTAATGATGCATGCATACTTATTAGTATTATACCAGGATTTATATAGTGCCAACAGTTTGCTCAGCGCTTTACATTAAACGGGAGACAATACAGCAACAAGGCAGTTCAATTACAAGAGGGATAGGAGGGCCCTGCTCCTTGATGCTTACAATCTAGGAGGGAGGGGCTAGTGGTACAAAAAGGTAATAACTGTGGGGGATGGACTGGATGGCAGATACAGAACGGTTCAGTAAGGTGGATGAGTCTGGCAGCAGCATTCATGATAGACTGAAGAGGGGATAGCCTACAGCTATTCTTAGCCCCCAAGTGCAGAACCTACATTTATCAACATTAAACCTCATTTCCCACATAGTTCCCCAATTACACAGAGCATTGAGGATGGCTTGTAAGTTGGAGACATCCTGTAAGGACGTTATTCCACTGCACAGCTTGGTGTCATCTGCAAAGACTGAAATTGGATTTTTAATCCCAGACCCTATATCTTTTATAAATATATTAAAAAGTAAGGGTCCCAACACTGAAGTTTTTCACTTCATAGTACTGGACTGAAATGGGGTGGAGGTGATGGTGGAAGTACAATGCAAAATTTTGACTTCCTAGTACTGGAATTAAATTGGGGTTGGTAATGATGGTGGAAATACTATGCCAAGTTCTTTACTTTTAAGTACTGGAATGGATTGGGTGGTGGTAGTGTCCCTCTTCTTCTTGACATGATTTTAGGTGCCCCGCAGGAGAGAAGTTCCAGGATAGCCTTAACAGTAGGGTGATGTTACAAATTACATCACCGACCTAATATCCAAGTACCACCCAACACGCACACTCCGCTCCTCACAAGACCTCCTTCTCTCTAGTTCCCTGGTCTCCTCCTCCCATGCCCACCTCCAGGATTTCTCCAGGGTGTCACCCATCCTCTGGAACGCCCTACCCCCAACCCATCAGATTATCACCTACTCTCCTCTCCTTTAGGCGCACCCTGAAAACCCACCTCTTCAGGGAAGCCTACCCCACCCCCTGCTAATTGCCGACCTCCTCCACTCCATCCCCCACAGCTATCTCCTCCTGTACCACTATCCCCTCCTTCGTAGATTGTAAGCTCCAAGGAGCAGGGCCCTCGAACCCCTCGTGTATCACATTGTATTGGTATTGTACTGTCGCATGTTCTGTTTCCCTTTGTAATGTACAGTGCTGAGCGCCGAACTGTTGGCGCTTTATAAATACTGTATAATAATAATAATGTTTATTATAGGATGGCAAGAGGTTGACACAGAAACCAATAGCTCATGAATAGGGGGGAGGGGGGCGGGGGGGGGTGGGGGGGGGGGGGGGGAGGTCACCCTCCTAGCTATAGAATGTTGCAGAAGTGTGTGAATTCCGAAAAACAAAACAAAAAAGAGCAAAAAAACAAAAACTAACTGCAAATATATTTCAACTGTGGCTGAAAAAAGAAAACCACAGAAACAATCAAACTCACAATAGAGAGAACAGTATTCTTATCCCTGCATGCAAATAACCCTTCTTTTATCTTCCTATTGCTGTCTGAGGCATTCAGCTGAATTCATTCTACAAAATGCTGCCTTCTTATCCTTTGAGAAGACGGATGAAAAAGGCTAAAAAGCATTTTAGAGAAAAAAGAACCGGAGAATCAAAAATGATTTACAGATGAATGAAATAAGCCTTCAATAGCTCAGCGCTGGACACGTGACTCCGGACTTGTTAGGATGAGAAGGACATACAGATAAGCAGAAATGTAAAACGGCATTAACAATAATGTGAATATTATCACTTAGAACAGGGAGGATTTTATTCAAAGCATCAGGCAATTGGCTAAACTCACAGATGAAATACATACAGTGGGGCAAAAAAGTATTTAGTCACCACCAATTGTGCAAGTTCTCCCACTTAAAAATATGAGAGAGGCCTGTAATTGGCATCATAGGTAGACCTCAACTATGAGAGACAAAATGAGAAAAAC